AAAAATCCCCGCCCAAATAACCTAACCACACAATGACACGTGGACACCTACCAACATAGGCACTAGTCGGCGACGCCACGAGTGCCGCGCACCGCCTGGGGGGCAAGATATACCCGCGAGGAAAGAAAAACATGCTTCACGCAGCACCGGGTATCACGCGACGCGCGAGTGCGCGATGTGCCGCGGGCGCGCGAGCGCGCGAAGTTCCCACACATCGCGCGCGTCGAGCCGAGCCCAATCGCGGGCGCGCGCCAGCAATCGCGCCGCTGCTTCATAATATCGCGCGCGCCTAAAAACCTAGACGCGAGCATGCGCGGGAGCCAACCGATCACGACGAGCGGAATAGACCCAAGAAACCAGCACCACGGAGACCACACAGGCCCGAGTCATTCAGGAAAAATCCAAACAGGAGGTGTTCGCAAAACACCCCCTGATGGGGGGCAATTGTTGGGCATGTGACTCGGACCTAGCCACGTCAGGGAGTGGGCGCGACTGGATGGACTCCGACATAGCAGCGCGAAGACCCCGAGCGCGACACCTCATCGTGGTCAACCATGTCCTGGCGCGAAGAGTTGGTGCGCGATACTAGTTACAGGCGCCGAGGAAGAGCATAGCGCAGGCCAAGCCAAGAGAGGAGGGAAGCGTAGCTTTACTCCCCAGGAAGTGGTCACATCAAGACCAGTGGCAAGTCTCTGACACGTCCTAGGTAGAGGGATGGCCTAGACAGAGCCTAAAATCCTTAGTATGTGCCAGTGGTCACATCGTTGTATCCCAATTGTCACATCTTGTATCCCCACTTGGGTCAACCACTCACCCACCACAATGAAGCCTATAAATACGGCATTTACTACGGTGGGTGAGGGGAGGGCATTTTTCACCACTCTCTCTATAACAACTATTTCTCTTTCTAGAAACGGGACTCCCACTCTCACTCAACTTTCTGATCTTTACCCTCTCCGAGCAATCCCAACGCCTGTGTTTCTTCTTGACCCAAAACTCAAATCATACATACAACACCTATGATGATCACTTATCTTTTCTCTATAGCATAGTCACATAATTGTAGAACCAAATATTAACCGACGCAATATATACTTGGATTCTTTCTTCAAATACCAAACACCATCATATTCGTTCAAGTATTTTTTCTTCTAAGAATTCGTATATACATGGACAATGCTAACATCAGTTCGTGTCTCCCCTCAAAATCAAATAATTAATGTGTTAGACCCACCATAATTATGAACTCCAGCGCAAACAAATACTAAAGGCTGTAAATAGTCGTCATTAGGATAATGAAGGTTTGGACCCAATTATAGATGGACACACCTCCTCAACCTAAATGAACGGTCTATATTAATAATAATGCCGCTGATTTAGTTCCATAATGCCCACGAAGTTTGGAAATACTCCAAATTAACCCAAGGGTTTAGAAGAACCGATGAATCTTTACTCGAAATTTACACCCACGATGAAGACAGAAGGGTTATGCGCCGCTGTTTGTTTGCATGTACATATGTAGCCTTGGTGGGTCTGAAGCTGAGACAAGTACGCAATTTCGAAAGCTTTGTCGTGGCGTGTAGTGTAGGGCAATTTCCAAGTAAAGTGGGACCGTGAAGTTTGAAGAGAAATGGAGCTTCTTTGTTCGATAGCCGGGCGTCAAGGGTTGGTGACAAAAGGGAAATTAATGACCAAAATGAAGACGAACGATCGATAGTTGCGTCTTGGACGAGGTATACATACATTTGAGGAGCGTCAGAGTGAGAGTACAGTACGTAGATGAGATGGTTGGGGAAGTTAACTTGTGTGGCGGCAGAGTGCTTCGGGGGAAGATATTTTCCTATCCCATATACTTCCACTTTAATAGTAGTTTACACAGGCCTATCAAAATATGGATTCGGTTTTTGGGTTTTCGGTATTTAACCAGAAGTTGCACCGAATAAGAGTTCATATATAATGTTTATGTGTCGAAACCTGCATATATACGTCTCGATCGGTTATTTTACACTATACTTCATGTTGTCTTTGTAGGTTTCAGAATCGTTGGCATGGATGGTTTGGTTCTGACTTCTGAGTTACATGTGATAGGGGGCTTAGCTAGCTAGATGGGGATTATTTTTTGGTTACTAATTCGATAACCAAAGCGAACCAGTTCGCCAAACCCTAGCTCCAGCTGCATAATGATTTTAATTTTTTTTCCACAAGGCTATTTGAGATCAACATATTGGTTTTCGGTTTGAATGCTTTTCGATGAAAATTACAAATATTCAGTAACCAGAAGGAAGGGACCAGAACCTGTAGTATACCCAACATTTTCCGGTTATTTTACTATTCGTGTTGTCCTTTTAAGTTTTGGTATAGTTGACATTGATGGTTCGGTTCTGAGCTACACGTGTGATTGGGGTTTCTAGTTGGTTGGGGATGGTTTTTCGGTTCCTAGTCGGATAACCAAAGCGAACCGATTTATTTGCCAACCCTAGTTCCAGCCGGATGGGTTTTCCGTTTTCCTTTTTTTCCCCACAAGGTCTTTGGGCATTCAAGTAAACGCAAGATCTTTGGGCCGCTCGGCAACTTTGTAAGCCCAAGAACGCACATTCATTTTCATTCAACGCACCGAAAGGCGAATGATTTGGGTCGTTTGGCAAAATTTTAAGCCCAAGCCCAGTGCAGTCGGAAGCGCGCGCTGGAATGGAGAGGCACATGCAGATACAGAGGGAGATCGGAACAGATCATGCACGTACGGAGAGATCTAATTAGGCCCGGGAGATTGATTATTCATTAATTAATAACAACTAGAGGCTATTAATTAAGTAAGTAAGAGTTCAGTGCTGCAGAGGCTAATTGTTTGTATATATACTCTATTAAAGATCCAAGATTTGGTTTTAGCGGCATGCCTGTGCCTGCCTATAGCTAGCAAGATAGCTCATGGAATTTCATAATGGTCTCTAAATTAATAAAGTGTGATCCAGTACTCATAATTCATGACATAATTAGTTACTTAATTACAACAATTCTCTCTTCATAAACAATCCTGCTGCTTTCAGCTGACAATTAATTAGGAGATGATCTTGTTCTTTAATGAATGAATATACCTATTTAAATATGTGAACGTATTGGTGGACAGTAGCTTTGTTCCACACTCTATAATTTGCGCATGTTGGGTTAAGTACTATCTATATAATAAGTTACTTAGAATTTGTAATAAGTGCATGACCGATTCAAATGCCTCCGCCCACGGATTTTCGACGGATCGATGCTGCCAGCTAAATGTAAGATTAGAATATAAATGATCTAGTAATTAAGAAAGAACAAAGAAGGCTGAAATCGGTGGAATTTAAATTTATGACTTCAAACCCCATGAAATTATTGAAATAATTTTGTTTCGATAGAAGATTTGATATAAGAAATTGTTTTAAGTTGTCTTTTCGGCGATGAAATCGGCAATATCATCTTATTGGGAAAAGAATTAGGGTGACGAAACCAAGAGTTTGAGAATTAGGAATTACATCAACTTAAATATATAAATTTTCCCCATCCAAACGCAAGAGTTCTTTACTAAATTTAGAGACTCCATATATGAAATTTAAACACGATTCCATCTTTCATCTCTTTCGTCCAAACGCCTCATGAGTAATCTCATGACGACAGTTCAAATTCATTAACTAACAATTTCGCTTCTAGTACATATATAGTTTGATGAAATTCTTGATGATTTGATTGGGATGGAGAGGTGTTTTGCCTTTCCTTGCGTCAGAACCTCGATGTATATGTATTCGAGACTACTCATGATGAATATTCGTGAAATCAATCCATGAGTTCAAGTAAAACAATTCAAGAACCCATCGTACTAACCATGCATCAATCAGTTGTTCATTGTATAAGTGGTGTTACCGCTTGCATTGATTATGCTCATTCATTCCCTCCGATCTTGAGCTTGAAATCGTCCCAGAACCTTGAAGTGTGTGCAATATTAATACTGCATGGTAATCATAACTTGGCAATGGTGCCCAGATAATATAGAGTTCGACACTTGGGCTGGTAATAGTAAGTGCGGTTTGCAGTCTTGGAATCTATCCATCTCTGTCTGGTTGACGCCATGTCCGATCATCTTGTTAATTCCATTAAGCCGCCGGCCGGCGGGGTAACTGATATCCAGCGACCTCCCGCAAGTACGCCATAATTGCCACCAGAAAACGTCTTATCATGAACAACTTTAGTATTCCACATCTGGCTAGCTAGTACCATTGCTTTCTCCATCATTTATTTCCTCTGACTGTGGCTTCAAATTGTGGGGTGCAAGGAATTAAATTGAAGGCCTATAAGAAGATTCCTACGTACATTTGCTTTTTATATTGCTCATTTACTATCTACCTTTTTCTTGGTGTGAAGTGCTATTTAAGTTATGTTGGTAGGGAAGACCAGTGCAGTGCGGTAATGGAAACTGATAAAACAACTGGGTTAGGTTACCTGCTCTAGTAGTTTTCTTTTAAGATGAAATGGTGCTCTAGTAGTTTGTAACAAAGAGATTTATAAGGGTCATATATATTTACATTTTATGATTAGATACTACTTAAGATATTGGAATTTTAGACCTTCAAATTTGACAATCTTTCTAATAAATTTTTTATATTACGCATTTATTTAGTCCGATCTCATCATACCATGAAAATTTCTATGTGATCCAATTACAACATTTTATTTTTATTTCAATGAGTAATCTTATCTCTGATCTGATCATTAATTTCTGAGTGTGGACTTTGACGCCTAGTGGCAGCTAGCTGCCAGTGGTCCGAGTAGCGAGCAAGTAGCAGCAACTAGCACAGGCCCCATGTTCCCTTCCCCACCGCCGATCACATGACGCCCGATCAAACAATCTCATCTCCTTTAGATTTCCACCCGGCGCCACCCACCATCCCCACCATTCACATTTGACATTCCCACTATTTAATCCATACCCTCCTCCGCCTTTTTTCTCTCCGATCACTCCCAAACCCCCAACAATGGCGTCCCAAACTTCCACAATCATCAGCTCAAAGTTCACAGAGCAAGACTGGATCATCCACATTGAGCGCACCATCGCCCTCCCGGACCTCGACGCCGTCGCCCAGGCCCGCCCTTCCATCTTCCACGTCCCGGAATCCGTCCGCATCCGCAACCGCCACTCCTTCTCCCCTCAGACCGTCGCATTGGGGCCGTACCACCACTGGGTCCCCGACCTCTACCGCCTCGAAACCCTCAAGCTCGCCGCCGCCAAGAGGGCTCACTCCAAATTCCGAGTCTCCGCCGAGTTCAAGCACTTCGTCGACGAGCAACTGGCGGAGCAGCTCGCCCCGGATCTCCGCGCCTGCTACGACGCCCACCTGCCCATGAGCGACGCCGCTCTAGCCTGGATTATGGCCGTCGACGGGCTCTTCCTCCTCGATTTGCTCTACGGAGATCTGCAGGACGAGGGTCTCACGAGAGACGTCCTGTTGCTGGAGAATCAGATCCCGATGATTTTGTTGACGGAGGTGGTTTTGGGGAAATTCAGTGGCAACACTGACGGGTCAATTAGTCCGACGGGTAGGGATTTGATTTCCGTTTCGGTTGATTTCTGCAGACGGGTCTCGCCCCTGGAATTGGGATTACCCGACCCGAATCCGGAACCAAAGCATTTGTTGGATCTCTTCTACCGCCTGCTCGTTGGTGCGAAAGAGAAGCCGAAAGTCAAATCGGAAGGATACTCCTCCGACGAAATCTCGGCGGAGAAGCCGGGCAATTGTGTTCAGAGTCTCCGGCGGAGGGTGCTGGCGTGGCTGCGGAGGGTAGTTTCGGAAGAGGACGCCGCCGGTTTTATCCCGTCTGCTTCCCAGCTGCGAGATGCAGGGCTGAGATTCCGGGTCGTGGAATACGGCGGCGTTTCAGGGATATGTTTTGACAAGAGGTTCAAAACGCTCAGCCTTCCGTCGTTTAGCTGGAAGCCGCACTGCGACGTCGCTTTGCGGAACCTGGTCGCGTACGAGGCTGCGGCGGAGCCGGAGCGGCCGATCCTGGCGCGGTACGCCGATCTGATGAACGGGTTGCTGCAGTCCGCCGCGGACGCCGAGGTGATGGAAGAGGAAGGCGTTACCGTCGCTGCCGCAGGCGGCGGAGCGCTGGAAGTGTTCGGGCGCGGGATGGGTTTGTCGAACGTCGGCGGAAACTGCTCGACGGCCTTAGACGGTACCATTGAGGCAGTGAACGAATTCTACAGGGAGAATCGGAAGGTGGAGGTGTGGAAGACGGCGAAGAGGTACGGGAAGCGGGCGACGGAGATCGGGACGTTCGTGGCGGCGCTGGGGCTGTTGGTCTTCTTCTGCCTGCAGATTGTTTTGGGGATTTTCGAAGGTGGGATCTCCGGTGTTTCTGAGATGACGCCGGCGGCGGGAATTGCGAAGATGTTGCCGGGGAATTCCGGTGGGTCCTATCTGCCGGAATCTCAGTAACGTTGACTCCGTTAGATTTGGGGTTTTGTGAAAAAATTGTACTGATTTGATTTGAGTTCGTGATTATTAATTCCACGAGTAATGCTAACTGAGATGTGTTTGTTAGATCTGATCCCGTTGCTAGCTGTTTCCAATTGGATAATATTTTACTCTGTTTTTTGGCTGCCTCGCTGTGACTCAGTTCCTGTAATTCTGTTTCTTTTGGATCGGTCTGCCACTCAGTGTTTGTTTCACACATGATCCACTGATTAATTAGTTGCGATTGGGTAGCTTTGCGACAATGATTTGTTTATGGATGGGTGGTGGGTTTGGATTGTCAAACCTAATCATAAAAGGTGGCACTTGGTTTGATGTAGTTGTTCCTTCAGTGACTTTGCCATGATAATAAGTGCCATTATTGGGGAAACGGCAAATGGATTGACCACTATTACTTGGCATTGGATTAGCACTTGTCATGTCGGCCAACAAGACCATGTCCAACATCGAGTTTTGATAAGTACATCATGTTTTTCTATCCAAATTTGCTAAAGATATGAGTTTTAGAGGGGTTCAAGCTAGTTTGGGAACTAGGGTTCGAGAAGGTGGTTGCCTTTCACCTTAATCAACCAGTCGGTGAATTGGAAAGTGTATCTTACTCATGTGTAAGATATTCACTCATGTGTAAGATATTCGCCTTTCACCTTAATCGGCTAGTCGATGAACGATTATAAACGATTGTTTATGTTTATGATTGAAAAGTGTATCTTACTCATGTGTAATTCTAGAATAACAATTTGTTGCACTATATTATTAAGCCCATTATAGATTTTTTTTCCTCTCGATTTGGTTGTCATGAATGATATAGATTTTCATATACTTTCTCTCGCCTATTGACTTTTGTTGTATCACTTTTCAAATATTTTTCGGGCCTCGGTTGATTTTCATATCATTAATTGCATCTAAAATTTAAAATTGACATGTATCAAATACATATGTTCCAATTGTACTTGAAGTTGTTGATATCGCGCCCATACTGTTACTTGTTTGCAGTTAAGAGCGTTTTTTGAGTGTACAAAAGTCCATCAAGAATAAATAACAATTTTTTTGAGACGAAAATGTTTGACTCAAATAACTTCACACCTCATAAGGATTTAGTCTTCTATGATGCTCATTGATCATAAGAGAAAAATGACCAACACACAAAATACAATTGAGCATGCCGACAAATCAATTTGTGAATCGAGAATGTAAGTCATTTGCATGTAGTTGGCCATTGCAAATTTCACCTCTTTCGTAAAGGGTAAACATAAATGCCACGAAACATTCGGCCCAATATGTCTTACATTTTCAGTATTTACAGCTACCAAAAAACCTCGCTTTTGTCGTGGGAGTTTTGCCGTTTACAAGTGGTAAAATCTTATCTAAAACCCATGCCCTACACTAGAAAAGGAAAACTCAAGCTCCACCCTTGAAGTCCACGTCATCATAACCCACAACGACGTCGGCCTGCTTCCCCATCCCTTGGGCCTGCGCAGGCCCATAGGCCCCGGAGCAGCCCAAATAGTACACGAAGTTCGCCAGGCTGAGCACCGCCAGCAGCCAGTAATAGTAATCGTACCGCCCCTTGTCAATATCGCTCGAAACCCAGCTCTCCCCTCCTTCCGCCGCCGTCACCCCGTCGACGGCGTTCATGATGAAGCTCGACGCCAGGCTGGCACCGGACATTGCCACCCCCCACAGCGTCGTCGACACGCTGCTCATGCTCCTCGGCAGCTCCTTGTAGTAAAACTCGCTCTGCGCGGTGCCGTTTAGCCCCTCCGCCAGACCCAACAGCACGAGCGACGGCATCATCCACATCGCCGACGACCGCGTCCCGAAAACGCTCTGTTGGCGGCGGCGAAACGTTTCTGCAGCTCCCAGCGCTGCCATGGAGAGCGACGAGAGGAAGATCCCCGCCCCCATCCTCTCCTTTGTGGTGAGCCGGGCCGGTTTGCCCCGAATCCGTGACCCGACCGGGATCAGGACCTTGTCGTACACCACTACCCACATGGCCAAAGCCGCGACCATGAACACGCCGAACGATCCCTGAAAAAAAAAAAACTACTGCATTAAAAAAAAATTCACTTTTTAAAAAAATTACTATTAATTGATAACATTACCACTAGACTGATAATTTACCGCGGGGATCTCGATGCTCGGGGTGACGTGGCGGTCCATGTTGGACGCCATGATGGTCTGGAACGAACCCTGGCTTATGTCGATCGCCATGATCATCCCCGTGGACCAGATGGGGACGATCCGGAGCAGGGATTTCAGATCCTCGACCTGATCGACGGTGCAGAGGCGCCACGGGTTGGACGCGGCTCCCTCCGCCGTCAGATCTTGGTCGGGGTTCTGGATCCTGCAAGCCCTGTTTAGGAATTTCACATTTTCGGAAGGGAGGAGGCGGGTGGTCCCCACGGGATGGTGAAATCCGTCCACGTCATCGTCTGGAAACGAAACGCTGCGTTTTGTGAACGAAGCGACGAGGACCTGAGCGAGTCCCGTGAAGAGGCTGGAGTTGGTGGGGTCGGACGTGACGTAGAAAGGGGAAGCGAGGAAGAAGGAGACGGCGGCGAAGGACATGAGGACGACGGGGACGCCGAACCCTACTTTCCAGCCCATGGTTTCTTGGATGCAGACGATGCAGGTGAGGGCGAGGATGACGGAGACGGAGACGAGCATGTACCACCAGCTGAAGAAGCTCTCCAGGATCTTGTTGTTGTTGTTCTTGCTCGTCAGGGGAGTTAGTTGGTCGGCTCCGAAGGCCATGGCGGAGGAACGGACGCCGCCGCTGCCGATGGACATGAGGATGAAGGACGAGTAGAGGAGGATGAGCTGCGGCGTGGTGGCGGTTTTTTCGCAGGTGGCGGCGGTGGTGGAGGAGTGGACGGCGGTGCAGGGGCCTGGCCTTGCTTGTGGGATCATTGCCGTTAGCCATATCGTCACCAACCCCTGTCCAAAATGGGCTTTTGTTCAGTTGTTTTTTCCGTGAGGAAAACTCTGTTGTTTGAATTCAATTAATGCGCATTAACTTAGTATTTTAAGAATTTGAGTATGCTAAAAAGAGTTTGAAGAAGAAGAAGAGTTATATGAGAGAGGCTTAATGCATAATGTATGAATAGTCGATTATTACAAAGAAGCTGAAGCATTTATTGTTTGTAGAATAATGAAAAGTTTTTTAATGTTATAATCAATAAATAACTATCGTAACTTTCGTTCTCGACCCATCATAATTAGGCACAATCATAATAACATTAGCTACACATAACATTGTTAGTAAATTATAGTCGCTCATCTGCAGCCACTCATTCTGTAAGGTAAACAACAACAAAATCTACATTAAAAAAAAAGTTCACACTTCTTAATATTTAATGTAGCCTCCAAATTGGGAACCTTGTAACATATATGAGGCTATGCTGTAATGTTCGTAGGCTCCGATAAAATGACGCGTTAATTAATTACTCGCAGGATAAAAATCAGTCACTCATTCGGACCAGAACAGGCAAGTAATATTTGAGTGAAAAAATTGAATTGAGAATTTACCATGAGGCTGAAAATGGAGCCTAAGGCGATCATACGGAACCTGCCGACGTAAGAATCGGCGAGAAAGGCGCCGAGGACCGGCGTGAAATTGGTAGCTGCTGACCACAAGAAGAGTAAATTGGCGCCTTGAACGTTTCCCATGCCGTACTCCGTCGTCAGGTACAGAATCATGTTCGGCATCAGCCCCAGAGTCGCCACCTTCTCGAACGCCTCCGCTCCTGCAGTAGTTTCATCATTTCACCAGCCGGAAAATTCGCCGGAAATCAGTTCACTTTTTTTTTTCTCTAGGTCCGATAAACCCGGAATATTTGACCGTGGACTCAATTGGTAGTGGCAGGTGATGGATTTGAGCATGTACCTATGATGAACGGCAGAGTTCTGAAGCCACCCTTGAGGTTATCGCCGTCGCCGCCGTGGCTAGGGAGGAGGAGTGGCTCCTTGACGGCGGACATCTTGTCGGGTTGGATGATGCTTGGTGCTCCGGCCGGCGTCCTCGATCGCTGCGTTTAAGAGAAAAAAGGGAATGAAGCTAGCTCAGGGAGAGGACATTTCGTATTGTTAATTTGTAATGCTTTGATTCAACATTTCGTATTTATATTTATCACTTTGTGAGTTATCTTTGGTGGAATTTTATTTATTTATTTATTTATTTACGTGAGATATTATATGTGTAGTCAATAATGGAGCTGGGGGGAGGGGAATGTACGTAACGTAAGGTATGAGATATTTATTTTTTGCTTTCCTCAATTACATCAGAACGTGAGGTTGATGGTGAAGTACTGTAAATTTGTTATTTTTGTTGTCATCGAAAATTCCACGTAATAATGAAATATAAAAAAACAAACAAAGAAAGAGTGATGGGACAGTGATGGGACATCGTTGCCTGCTTCATATTTTTATTTTTGGGTCTTTGAGTTTTGCAGGAAACTTAATTACGGTTCTATTTTGGACTTAGTAAGGCTGAATTTAACCATGATGGTTCAGGTTCACTGGACATATCATTATATAGTTTACGGTTGAATAGGTAATTACCTGCGTACAATGCACAGTGAACATAAACCACAGGTTTACCTTCATGAATTAACAAAGATCTTGGATACGAGAGGTAGGTAATATGATCTCTCACGAGTGTAATCGTTATCGATATTGTAAATATAATCGTCGTGAACAGATGATCGGTTGATGTGATGTGATTGATGTACCAGACATGGTCTTTTAAACTTAAGTTTAGTTCCAAGTCAATGTGATTGTTTTATTACCGATGATTCTTTAAATCCCGTTTGGATGCCATTCAAAATTGATAAAAGTTATTATTATATCCAATGGTCCTAATTGAAACGAGAACTAAATAAGTTAGAATGAGTTTCGAGGAGAGAAAATTACATACAATCTATATATTTTCATCATTTACAACAATTTGAGTTATTAAGATGTGGTAGTCCTTCTACTGTAAAGTTTTTTTTTTCATAAAAAAAGTGTTAATAAAAACATATGATGTTTGAGTCGTGATAAACTCATGCAACTCTACATAGCCTATGTTTGGCCCGGCTTTTAGAAGTGCTTTTCGGCTTCAAAAGCTTAAGCAGGGCCAAACACCTCTAAAAGCTCGGCTTTTGAAAAGCCGAAAAGCGCTTTTGTATAACATAAAAGCAGAAGCTCCGATTTGGAGCTTCTGCGAAAAGCTGTTTTGAAAATACAAGATTATCCTTACCATATTTTAATTTTATTTCAGAAAATATAATTTTCCTTCATTTATATCATTTTAAAAATAAAATAAATTATAAAATCATATTATTTAATATAAAAGAAATCTAACAAGATCCATTTTGACTACTTTTTATTGTTTCGAATTTTTATTTATATTTTATATTATAAGTCCTTTATAGTCATTTTACACAACCTCTCATATTAAAAAGCACTTCTAATAGTTTTACAGCCAAACACTAAACTGCTTTTTTTGAAAAGTACTTATCTAAAAGCTCCAGCCAGAAGCTGCTTCTGCAAAAGCTACAGCAGGGCCAAACTAAGCTATATTCAACTTGACAACAGATTTGTACAATTTTCTAGCAATCAAATGAATTTTTTTATTTATTTATTACAACATCAATCAATAATAATACACATGTGACATGACCAATCCGTTACACTAACACTAGTTTCCTTTGTGATCAATGGGTTGTTCCCCTGCATCCAAACCCTGGCCGAGCTCAGCTTTACAAGGCCCATAAGCCTTAGCACAACCAAGATAATACACAAAATCAAGAACAATCAAACCAGCAATCAGCCAGTAGTAGTAATCGTAATGCCCCTTGTTGATATTCCCAGCAATCCAGCTCTCCCCCTCTCTCCCTCCTTTCGTCAGAATCTCCACACCGCTCAGCACAAAACTGGCCACCAAGCTCGCCATCGACAGCCCCATTTGGTACAACGTCGTAGATATGCTAGCCATGCTCTCAGGCAGCTCACTGTAGTAGAACTCACTCTGTGCAAGGTAGTTAAACGCCTCTGCAATCCCAAATGGGACGTAGTAAACCACGAACCACATCGCGGACATGTCCACTATACCTGTTGGATCATCGGTTAGCCCCTCGTCGATGGCCCTTTCGCGGCGAATCATCTCCACGATGGCCAGTGCTGAAATTGCTGCAGAGGAAATCAGGATTCCCAGTCCTAACCTCTGCTTCATGGAGAGGTGGAAGGGTTTGCCTATGAGCTTGGAGGTTATGGGGGTGATGATTTTGTTGTAGAGAGGAACCCATATCAGTTGCGTTAGCACGATGGTTAGGCAGAAGGAGCCGGCTGGGATTTGGAATCCTGTTGGATTGAAGATGTGTCGATCCATGGTGTTGAGTTGGAGCAAGTGGAATGGGAGTTGGGTTGTTGGTAGTGACATAATTACTCCTGCAAACCATATGGGAATCACTCGGATTACGGATTTCAGATCCTCCACTTGCTCTACTGTGCAGAGGGTCCATGGATTTGTGGCAGTTCCATCAGGGTTCAGCTCTTGTTCAGGGGAGTCAATGATGCAGGCTTTGTTCAAGAACATCAATTTGTCACTTGGATGCAGGGGAGTTGCAGGGGAATTGGGATTGGAATGGTAGGTATGAACTTCAGAAGGCAACTTGATCCATCTTTTTCTGGAACCAGCAGCTGCAACCACTACTTGAGCGAGTTCAGCGAGCAGGCTCGGTTTGGTCTTCTGCTCGAGATACAACGAGGAACCCGATACGAAGATGAGGCCCGACGACACGATGAGAATCAATGGAACCCCAAAGCCAACTCTCCAACCTGCAGCTTCTTGGATGTAGACAATGACTGTTACTGCTATTAGTATGGCAACTGTTGAGGAGATGAAGTACCAGCTGACTAGACTCTTCAACAAGGCTCCTGAATCGTCATTTGTGGTGCCATCTTTGTTCCTGGGGATGATTTGGTCAGCACAGAAGGCCAAGCTGGATGATCTCATGCTTCCAGAACCGATGGAGATGAGGGCTAAGGAGGTGCATAAGAGGGAAAGTTGTGGCAGTGTGGCCTGTTTGCAGGTGGTGTCAACACATGGTTGAGGCCTAGCTTGTGGGATGGTTGCAGTCAGCCATAGCAGAAAGGTACCCTGTAGTGGAATTTGCAGAAACTAGGGATTAGTTTATGATTTCAACACTCAATTTTTGGTGGTTGAAGATACAAATTGCAGTCATGAAGTCAGGAAAATGAAAGCATCTTGTTTATGAATAAACTATTGAAGGGTAATGAGAGAGCATCTTCTGAGGTTGAACGCCTAACCAGTGGTTGCAGCCTTTTGATGTCTGTTTCTTATAAAAATGGATTAATTGTATAAACGGTCACTGCAATTTTTGGATAATCGATAAGCTGATCACTAAAGTTGATTGATTGTGATTGCAATTGACAATGACTAACAAATTGTCCCTTAGCTCATCGCTTTCAAGTTCTTCACACAAATTTGTCCATATTAAGGTGTCAAATTCATCCGATTATCTGACAAAAAAAAAGTTAATGCAAGAAATTTTGATTAATTTCCAGAGGGGAAGGGAATTGATTCAGGTGGTTACTAATAACACAAGTTCAAATTGAATCGAGTAAAGGTTTGATTTGTATCTAATACTAGGTAAAATAAATATTCCATTACATCTCAATTTTGCCAATGAGGATTTTTTAGTATAATTTTAGTAGTTGGCACAATAAGCCGAATAATTTGGACGAAAAAGTTGTCACCGGAAGATCGAGAGAGTGACAAATATTCTAAATATTGAAGTCCACTAACCCTTAGTTTAATGGCTAGTTGTGTAATTGACCCCTTATTTATATATTTAACCCATTGCAAATTGGCAAAGCTAATGAAAGGAAATTGCAGGTACAACAAGAAAAGATTATTATTTTATATGTGCTGGTGGTGACAGGCCAGCATCTCAACCAGAACCAGGTATGGTCACTAAAGCAGAACTCAGGGGAACTTAACTAAAGGCTCTATCTAATTAAGCAGCAGAGACTACTGCTGGAGTTATTGCCCTTACTGGTAAATTCAATCAGTTTCGATGAACAAACACTTACATTTGCACAGATAGACGTGTAAGTAAATGATATAAGATCGATTTACCGTTTACTGACCAGAGCATGGGCGAGGGAGCCGAAAGCAATCATCCAGTATCGGCCGACATAAGAATCGGCCAGAACTGCTGCAACGACGGGCGTGAAATTGGTGGTAGCAACCCAGATGAAGATCAGGTGGGCACCATCGCTGTTCTTCATCCCGTACTCTGTAGTCAAGTACATGATCATGTTGACCGGAAGCCCATAGCTCACCATTTTCTCCAATGCATCAGTTACTGGTTTGAAGATTACATAGAAAAAGGGGTTTCATTAGAGGAAAAATGAGTTAAAGAAGGTAGAATCAAGAAGGTGATTAGATATGGATTTGCAGTTGCAGTAGCCCACCTATGATGAAAGGCAGGGCCCTGAAGCCACCGTTGCTGCTGCTACTCTTGGTGGCTAAAAGTGGCTCTCCACTCGTGATTTGACAATCTGCTGCATTTTCCATCGCCATTCCTCTCTCTCTCTCTCTCTCTCTCTCTCTCTCTCTCTCTCTCTCTCTCGGACTGAGGAGGTGGAGAACGAAGAGAACTAGCTTAAATATATTGGGTCGTCAGTCGTCGCTAAACTTTGTGACTTGTTGTCATTTACAAATCACTCAGCTGGATTTTATTTCTCTGCAAACTCATCGTTGAAGTTAGACATAATAGACACATTTCGTCCAATTTTTTTTTTGGATTTCAGTCACAGTTTCATTGATAATATTATATTCCGCTCGCTATCGGTTCGCGTTTGAGCGAGTACGTGATATTTTAAAAATTAATAGTTTGAATTTTGCCCTAAAAGTAAAGAGATTGTCATCAACAACTCTATGCAGTCGACGCTATAAGCCCAATTCCCGTATGTGACTAGGGAACAATTGTGGCCAAAGTGTAATTATCATTTAATGGTTTAATATATAAGGTAAATCCTATATTGATTAGGTTAATGATAGGTAAATTCCTAATATACCCTGATGGTGGGTCTATATAAAGAAGCTCTAGGATTGGTCCTCTCTCAACCCATTACGTAGAATTTCTTAGCCATCACAGAAATCTCTAAACCTAAAACCTAAAGGGGTCAAGAGGGAGAAACTCAATTCCGGTGATTACTACTCCAGCGCCGCCGCCGCTCTCGTCATGGATCGAGGTAGGTTTACCCGATCTATTATCGATTCGTGAAATCATCTAATTCTAAGATCCATGCTATTATGATTTATGTTTACAGACGCAACGACGAACTTTAATTAGATAAAAAGATCGTCGAGCAAATGATTTTTATGTTTAAGTTGTAAACAGCGAATTCAACCTGCTTTGGTGGTATTGAATAGGTTGGATGTCAAATTTTATTAATCAAGACATCTTATATTTGATTCGTGATAACCTCAAAATGAACTATATTAATTTGTCTGCAACTCTACATATTCGACATGGTGGCGGACTTGTACAATTTTCTGCAACACTAATTTCCTTAGTGAACTATGGGTTGTTCCCCTGCATCCAAACCCTCGCCACCAAGCTCAGCTCTACAAGGCCCATAAGCCTTAGCACAACCAAGATAATACACAAAATCAAGAAGAATCAAACCAGCAACAAGCCAGTAGTAGTAATCGTAATGCCCTTTGTTGATATTCCCACCTATCCAGCTCTCTTCCCCACTCCCTCCTCTCGTCAGAGTCTCCACACCGCTCAGCACAAAACCGGCCACCACGCTCGCCATCGACAAACCCATCAAGTACAACGTCGTAGATATGCTAGCCATGCTCTCAGGCAGCTCGCTGTAGTAGAACTCACTCTGTGCAACGTAGTTGAACGCCTCTGCAATCCCAAAGGGAACGTAGTACACCACGAACCACATCGCGGACATGTCGACCACACCTGTTGGATCGTCGGAGAGCCCCTCTTCGACAGCCCTTTCGCGGCGGATCATCTCCACGATGGATAGTGCTGCCATGGAGGCAGAGGAAAGCAGGATTCCCAGACCTATCCTCTGCTTCATGGAGAGATTGGCGGGCTTGCCTCTGAGTTTGGAAGCTATGGGGGTGATGATTTTGTTGTAGAGAGGAACCCATATCAGTTGTGTCAGCATGACGGATAGGCAGAAGGAGCCGGCTGGGATTTGGAATCCTGTTGGATTGATGATGTGTCGATCCATGGTGTTGAGTTGGAGCAAGTGGAATGGGAGTTGGGTCATCGGTAGCGCCATTACAATTCCTGCAAACCATATGGGAATTACCCGGATTAGGGATTTCAGATCCTCCACTTGCTCCACTGTGCAGAGGGTCCATGGATTTGCAGCGGTTCCATCAGGGTTCAGCTCTTCTTCAGGGGTGTCAATGATGCAAGCTTTGTTCAAGAACATTAATCTGTCACTTGGCTGCAGGGGAATTGCAGCAGAGTTGGGATTGGAATGGTAAGTATAAGCTTCAGAAGGCAACTTGATCCCTCTTTTTCTGGAACCAGCAGCTGCAACAATTACTTGAGCAAGTTCAGCAAGCAAGCTCGGTTTGGTCTTCTGCTCGACATACAACGATGAACCCGATACGAAGATAAGGCCCGAAGACACTATGAGAATCAATGGAATTGCAAAACCAACACTCCAGCCGGCAGCTTCTTGGATGTAGACAATGAATGTTACAGCTACTAGTATTGCAATTGTTGTGGAGATGAAGTACCAGCTGACTAGAGTCTCTAACACGGTTCCTGAATCGTCATTTGTGGTGCCATCTTTGTTCTTGGGGATGATTTGGTCAGCACAGAAGGCCAAGCTGGATGATCTCATGCTTCCAGAACCGATGGAGATGAGGGCCAAGGAGGAATATAAGAGGGATAGTTGTGGCAGTGTGGCCTGTTTGCAGGTGGTGTCAGCACAAGGTTGAGGCCTGGCTTCTGGGATAGTTGCTGTCAGCCATAGCAGAAAGGTACCCTGTAGTGGAATTTGCAGAAACTAGGGATTAGTCTATGATTTCAAAGCTCAATTTTTGGTGGGTTAAAATCCACATCATTAGGTCAGGAAATTGAAAATGAAAGCATCTTGTTTATGAATTAACTATTGAAGGATAGTGAGAGAGGATCTTCTGAGGTTGAACACATTAGCCAATGGCTGCAGCCTTTTGATTTGTGTTTCTTATAAAATGGATTAGTTGTATGAACGGTCACTGAAATTTTCGGACTAACGATAAACTGATTACTAATGTTGGTTGATTTAATAAACTTGTGATTGCAATTGACAATGACTAACAAATTGTCACTCTGCTCATCACTATCAAGTTCTTCACACAAATTTGTCTAAATTAAGGTGTCAAATTCATCCAATTATCGATAAAAAATATAAAAAGTTAATGCAAAAATTTTTCGATTAGCTACCAGAGGGGAGGGAAGGGATTCGGGTGGTTACCAGTAAAACGAGCTCTTCATATTGGATTGAGTATTAGCTTGATTTGTATCAAATACGAGTTAAAATGAATCTTTGATTACATTTAGTTCGGTTAATCAGAATTTTTTTTAGTATAACTTTAGTAGTTGGCAGAAGAAGCGGATAATTTGTACGAAAAGCTTGATATAAAAGTTTGAGAGAGTGACAAGTATGCTAAATGTTTAAGTCCACTAACCCATTGTTTATATTAAGCCATTGCAATTGGCAAAGCTGATGAAAGGAGATTGCAGGTACAACCGAAAACATTGTTATATGAGGTGGTGACAGGCCAGCATCTAAAGCTAGCAGACACTCAGAAAATCACACACAAAAAAATCCTTTTTAACAGAAAAAAAAGGGTTGCTGAAGATCCAAACCAAATACTCCAGTCTCCAGGGGAACTTGCTGAATGCTCTAAGCAGCAGAGACTGCTGCAGTTACTGCCTTACTGGTAAATTCAATCTATTTCGATGAACAAACTTACATTCACATAGACGTGTAAGTAAGTGATATAAGATTCCAAAGAATGATTGGTTGGCTATGGAAACAGTTGAAGAAAAAAGTGGTAAAAATTAACCAGAAGAAGATTGTTTACTAACCAGAGTGTGGGCGAGCGACCCAAAAGCAATCGTCCAGTAGCGGCCGACATAGGAATCGGCCAGAAATGCTGCAACGACGGGCGTGAAATTGGTGGCAGCAACCCAGATAATGATCAAGTGGGCACCATCACTGTTCTTCATCCCATACTCTGTAGTCAAGTACAAGATCATGTTCACCGGAAGACCATAGCTCACCACCTTCTCCAATGCATCAGTTACTGGTTGTTTTACAAACAAGGAAAAAGGTTGTGATCATCTTTATTTAGCCAATGAATTGAGGAAGGTAGAATCAACAAGACCGTTTGGTTATGGATTTGCAGTTGCAGTTCCCACCTATGATGAAAGGCAGGGCCCTGAAGCCACCGTTGCTGCTGCTGCTGCTCTTGGTGGCTAAAAGTGGCTCTCTGCTCGTGATTTGACAATCTGCTGCATTTTCCGTCGCCATTCCTCTCTCTCTCTCTCTCTCTTTCTCTGGGACTGAGGAGGTGGAGAACGAAGAGAACTAAGCTAATTTATTGGGTCGTTAAGTCGTCACTAAAGTTTGTGACTTGCTGTCATTTACAAATCACTCAGCGAAGTTTGAACTAATTGATACATTTCGTCCATTTTTTTTTTTTGGATTTTAGTCACAGTTTCAGTGATAATATTATATCACCATCATTAAAAAAAAATTCTTTCTTCCATTATACCTGCTTTCGAGTTTAGAGCCATCTTTAGCAGAAAATGTTTATCCAGGTACTTAAATGATAAATATCTTAATCGGATTATTCATCACTTAGTACACAAACACCGATCAATTAATTTGAATAACTCGATTTATTGGAGAGAAACTTAATAGGCTAATATAGAATTTTATCATGTTATCTTACATACTCTTTCAGGCAAAATTAATGTCACAAAAATTTGTTTATGCTCATCATACAACATACGTACAAATACTCTCTCGATCAAAAACTCTAATACCATATTAAGAGCTTCTTTAAAATGGAGAGGTTGAGATCAGATGCCGATCTCTTAATTTGGACACACACTATGGGAATAAGTTTTTAAATGTCCCCTCTTGTTGGCACTCTTGCTAGACAACAACTTGGGAATTATTTTAGTACTCGCGTATAATATACTTCAATCATGATTTTGAAATTTGAACCAACTTGAAATATGTGAATTTTGATTAAGGTTTGAAATGCACAACAATTCAACATAGTACTGCCACTAATATAAAAATTGCAAGCGCTAATCCTATGATAAGCCATCTAATCTCATGTCTAAACACCAGCTCTAGTACCCCAAAACTTTTTATTTAATATGCAAGTATATAATTTTGATTGTTTTTGTGATATTTCTGTGCTCTTTGCCTCTTTCATGAGTTTGTGTATAGAATATACGATGGTGCTCAAATGAATTGAAAGGAAATTAAAGTGGATTATATAAGAGTACGGAATTAATTAAAATCCAATTGTACAAGTAATGATATAAAACTATGGAGTCGTTTGGAGAACAAGATTTGGATTATGGATTTATTGAATCCATAGATTTAGTAAAATGTTATGTTTTTTTGTTACTTTTGTATCGTGGATTGTAGGTTTAGAGATTTTAAATCTCTAAAATCTAGATCTATCAAATCACTCATAATTAGAGAGATTCTACATCTTGATTTTGGAGATTTTCTTTCTCCTACTATATCTCTTCTTTTTTTTCATTTATCCCACTAAATACCCTTACCAATAAATTCTAATAGTTTTCGAGCCAATCTAATTATGTTGGTTAAGAATAAACATGTCATTTAATACAAAAATAGAATTTCTTTTTTCATCGGATGTTAACAATCGTAGTTACCAAACAATGAACATTTTCAAATCTTTTTTCAACAATCCGGAGAGTTAAAATCTTTGGATTGTCTAGAATCTATAGATTTAGACTTCAATTCTCCAAACGAGCCCTATGTTCCATTACCTGTATAAAAATCTAGATATTTGAAGCAAAGTGACTCATATTCAGCTGTACAGGTAATGTAAAATTTATTTACGATCAATTCTTTTCCTAATAAAACTAGGAATCATTATAGTACGAATTCCTTAGACAATTCACAATCTAAAGTTCCTTTCCTAGTTTGATTACAAGTCTTAATTGGAATAACAAAGTAGAACCTCATTCTTGTTCTACTAGAAATCGTTATATGATTACTGATTATTATCTATTAAATAAAAGACGAATCCTTACATGATAAAAGATTTCGATTCAATAGATAACTATCCCAACCGTAAATAAGATGAGTTTTCCTCATCGGAGTACCAATTTTATTTTATTAAGAATCCTTATCCTAATAGGATTAGGAATGCTATTTGGACTAGGTCATGGCATCATGTTCTACTAACCTCTACTGGTTTTCCCCTCCATCCAACTCCTCCATTATCACCTCACCCTTGCATGGGCCATAACCCTTGGAACAAGCCACATAGTACACAAAATTCCCAACACACAAACAAGCCAGAACCCAGTAGTAGTAATCATAATGCCCCTTGTTAATATTGCTCCCAACCCAGCTCCTCCCTTCTTCCCCTCCATCACCACCACCTCTCGTCGCATGATCCACCATGCTCAACACTAAGCTCGCCACCAAATTCGACACCGACAACCCCATCTGGTACAGAGTTGTGGAGATGCTGGCCATGCTCTTCGGCAGCTCGCTGTAGTAGAACTCGTTCTGTCCAATGTAATTGAACGCCTCTGCAACCCCAAACGGCACGTAGTACAGCAAGAACCACATTGCCGACATGTCCACTATGCCGTTGGGATCGTTGGAGAGCCCCTCGTCGAGCGCCCTGGCTCGACGAATGCTCTCCACTAGGCCTAGTGCGGCCATGGAGACAGAGGAGAGCAGGATCCCAAGTCCCAATCTTTTCTTCAGGGGCAGAGAAATGGGTCTGCCTCTGAGGGTTGAAGCTAGTGGGATGATGACACGATCGTAGAAAGGGACCCATATGAGTAATGTGAGCATTAGGAAGATGCTGAAGGAGCCTGCTGGGATTTCGATTTCGGGAGTGATGTGGCGGTCCATGGTGGCGAGTTGTAGCAGCTGGATGGATTGCTGACACGCTGTGACGGACATTAGCATTCCTGCTGACCAGATGGGGATCACTCGGATTACGGATTTGAGGTCTTCGACTTGTTCTACTGTGCAGAGGCGCCATGGATTCGTTGGTTTGCCTTCTTGGGTTAGATCTTGTTCAGGGTGCTGAATGATGCAGGCCTTGTTTAGAAACCTCAAATTCTCAGTTGGTTCTGAATTCATTATTGCAGCATTGGAATGGTGGTGGTGGTGATAAGCTAGTGTGGTTGATTGAGGTGGCTGCAGCTTGATACTTCTCTTTGTCCAGGCAGCTACAACAACTTGAGCAAGTTCAGTGACCAAGCTTGCTTTGGCTGCTGGCTTCACGTAGAATGGAGAAGCCAAGAAGAAGGAAAGTGCAGACAGTACCATGAGCACCACACAAACTCCAAAACCAGCACTCCAACCAGCTGAATCTTGGATGTAAACTATGACGGTTATGGCCAACAGAATCGAAATCGATGTGGAAATGTAGTACCAGCTGAAGATGCTCTCTAGCACTCTTGATGTGCTCCTTTTGGTGTTTCCCATCATCTGATCAGCACCAAATGCCATGCAGGATGATCTCATGCTCCCTGAACCGATCGAGATGAGGCCTAACGCCGCGTATAAGAACAGCAGCTGTGGTGTCGTGGCTCGCAGTCTGCAGCTGTCTGTGGAGTCGGGATCAACACAGGGTTGAGGCCTGGCTTCTGGAATTGCAGCTGTTAGCCATAAGAGAACATTTCCCTGCACATGATCGAAGAATCAGTTCGTCTTAATAATTTGAATTGATGCTTTGAGAAATATTTGAAAAGAGGCCCTACCCTAGTTGATTGATATGATTGTGTCAGCATCTTAAGCAGGCTTGTTCCCTAAAAGGACAGGGAATCTAAGGAAGAAGTGCAGACAGTAGCAGTACCAGAGCAGACCAATTATTGGGACTCTAGTTTTCATTTCTTCATATATTGGTCAAACTGTTCTTCCTTTTCCCTGTAGAAATATTCCCCATGTCAGTTTCTGTTCCTGAGGTAACACCTAGTGAGTTTGATAATTTGAAAGCTTATTTATGTGTAATGGTGAACCGACTACTTCTTTTCCTACTAACAATAGACATTTGATGATCTCTTTTAATCTTTGTCACTACATTTTATGTCGAGTTCTTGTCTACATTTCCTCCGCAATATGCCTTGTACTATGTACTGACCTAAGCGTTGGAGTGCAAATTTAATCTACACCGAGAGAGACAGAAGCGAAGTTCGAACAGAGCTGGAACCGGGATCCAAAACTAATAATGCTTGACTGTCTCATCAAAAGACCAGAGCAGAGAGGAACCATGTTCTTACCAGAATGGAAGTAATGGATCCAAAGCCAATCATCCAGTAGCGACCCACATAAGAATCAGCAAGGAAGGCCGCGAGAACAGGGGTGAAGTTAATAGCAGCGGTCCATATGAACATCACTTGGGCACCATCAGCATTTTCCAGGCCATACTCTCTCGTCAAGTAGAGAATCATCGATGCACCGAGACCGTAAGTCACCACTTTCTCCATTCCATCAGTTACTGCAATGCAGTAAGAAGGCATTAATGTAACTATTAACACCAGAATATGATGCTTTGTAAAGTACCCTAAATATGTTACCTATGATGAAGGGCAAGGCCCTGAAGCCACCCTTTGCAAGATGATTGTTGTTACAGGAATTGACCAAAAATGGCTCTAACCGTGAGCTATCCATTTTGGTTTCAGCTGCCCAGGGAGCTCTGTCTGTGCTTCTTCTACTGTGGGAGATGGAGAAGAGTTCATGATAAAACCAGTAAAGATTTTGTTCTTTCCAGGTGGTATTGGTTGGAGAAGTAATGCAAATGTAACCCACGTTGAAGCTGACAAACTTGTCTGTGGTCCAAAGTAAATGGAGCTAATATTAAAGGAGAGATTAAGGTTATACAAATATGCAAACAGTACGTGATAGTGAAGCAACAACCCACTTCAAAGGGATTCCAGAACACTTCAATACATCTCGAGTTCATTGCCACGTCACAGTTCAAATCCTCGTATGATTATTCGTGTTTTCATTGATTTTGTCGTTTCAAACTCTTGTCGAAGTTAGTGGCACAAACAGTATTGATCGAATAAGAAATTTTGAAAGACTGATTGCCAAAAACAAGTTGGGAATGGTCTAAGATGTCCCTTTTGAAAGTGTTGAAGACATGATGAGATTTAAAGCAGGCAGGTATGGAAAAGCAGAATATATTTCAGGAAAGATGCAACTCCAGGTGGGTCTGCTGCTGCCTTGGAGTCATCAAAACAGCAAAAAAGCAAGAACTGCTTTTTCCTTTCATCCTGGTGTTGCTGTGGGTGGTTGATTATGGGTTTCGAACTGTGGACCTCTCAGGCATGATGATTATCGACCTTCAACCCGTGCAAGAGGGAAGCCAGCACCATTTGGTTAAAGGTGGTTAAGAAATCAGAAGAAAAATAAGTGTACTACAGTACAAGGCTTTATACTAGTGGCCAAATGATGAAGGCCAACTACACCAGCAGCAGCTCCAAAATCCAGCCTTAAGGAAATTCGAGACAAGCTTTCTATCTTGCATTATGAGATTTGTTCTGAATATGGTGCCAAATATTTTGTTCTTTTGGAGTCGAGAAAAGGAAAAGGAAATCAGTCAGCAGCACTCATCTGCAGCTGTCATAGTACAAGTCAAGGCAGAAAGAGAGGGGGAATAAAGCCACCAAGTCCACTTCTCATTCACCATAATTACTGGCTTGCTTCCACTTTTCTTCCTTTTCTCCCAGCTTTTAAAAGCCTTCCATGTACTAATAAAGAAATGGAAAAAAGCTTGCACTTAGCCTAACTTGGGAGCAAGAGCCCCTCTCCCTTCCTCATTCTTGTGCACCAGCAAAATTCAATATTGGTTGAGCAACAAGGTAGCAGCATAGATAGTTGAGGCGTTGGACTCACCTGCTAGACGTTCTAAGTCTCAACTTGGATATCATTCTGCTAAAATTTTCTTACAACCACTTGATCGACGAAACTAAGAAGATGATAATCGCCCTTTCTCATGAGGTTATTGACTATTCATATGGACAGAAACAGAAAAATTCACCTCGATAAAGAACGTAGAACTAAATAGTATCTGCAGATTGCATTTGAGTACGAGTAAGGAGCGGCGGACAAAACCCACCCTCAACTTATTCCCACGACCTTGGTAGATTACAGGTAGAAATGTCATCCTTTAACCTGATCGGAGACGCTGAGTCGAAAACCTGCGATTACAGGTAGAAATGTCATAGAACGGAACACCTAAGTATGTCAAAAGGCTAAAAAAAGAAACAAAAGGTTGAGTTATAGTGGGAAATAGGGAGAGTGGAGAAACAACCCCACCTATTCCTTATTTTTTCCAAGTGACAATGGTAAGTGGTAACAAAAGTGAAGTGAAGCCCCCCCACAGCCATGATTATTCCCGCCGCTTACAAAAGAGTCGAACCCATACCAAAACCCTTCTGCTACTTCAGTCACACCAGCATATAAGGGCCTTCGGCTATGATATAAAGGCCAAAAAAAAAAACAACCTGACCTGCAATCTCCTGCCACTGCCCCCAACTTCTCCCACTCCATAGCATATATTCCTGCATTTAAACACAAACATCCTGCATTTCGCCATGAGAAGTTGCACCAAAGCAACCCTGACACTTGACCAAGAAGAAGGAGAAGAACCAGAAGAGTCCCCAGGACTCAGCACAACAAGAAGTAAGTAAGAGTAAGAGCTTAATGGCATTATATCAAAGGGTTCCCTCTTCTAACTTCTTTGTTTGTGACCTTTTTCTTGATCAGTGAGCTCTTGCAGCACAAAGAGCCTGCTGCAGAAGCTAGAGAACATCGACGAGAACACTCCTGCTGCCTGGGTACCCCTACCATCATCATCGTCATCTGCTGCACCCCCTGAGACACCCACCGAGTCCATGGAGTTCCTAGCTAGATCATGGAGTCTCTCTGCCATGGAGCTCTCCAAAGCTCTTTCCACTGGTGGCACACCACATCAGGCACCCCCTCCTCTTCCTGGTAGTCTCCACAAGTCGGTGCCTCCAGCTCCTCCAGCTTCTTCTGCTGTTGGAAAGGAATCTGTAAGAACAAAACAAAGTTTGAAGTGATTCTGTAAGCACTGAGATGTTTACATCGCTTGTATTGTTGGAACTGAAACACTTTATATTCAGCAGTTGCCTAGTGCTGGTACTGGCAGTCCCCCTATATCTCCAAGAGACAGTGAAGAACTCAAGGTAATTATCTCCTCAAAGCAAACACATTTGCTTGTTAATATTAGAGTTGAGAAATGAATTGGGTTTATGGGTTTCACGGTTGGGTTAAAATGGGTTCATAGGTAAAGGGTTGGTGGTTCGTTGGGATCAAAGGCACTCTCATGAAAATTTGAAATGCTTTGTAAAATCCTGAAATTTTAGGTACTGAAGTGCAAGACAATAATTCTTAGATCCCAAATAATAAATTCACCGAAACCATTCAACCTGACCAAGAATTTGGACCAATCTGGGTAGGATGGAGTTTAAGTGCATTGAGTTGATTGGTTAGCATTTCCCACGTCTAATGCTATCATAATCACTTGTAAGAGAAATACAGTCTGTGCAGGAGTTACTTCTACTTCATCAAGCACTGAACCCAGAATTCATCTACAGTCAGCAATTGCTCAAACATGGGGTACCTTGTTTAACTTGCAACCTTTAGCATCCAAGTAATCTATATTTTGTCTCTCATGTTATCTAATGGCTTGATAACATAAAAAACAGTTATACAAGAGCATCATGAAGGGTAAAACGATGGGGAGAAGGCTGAAGGATCATAAAGAGAGGAAGAAGCAGGAGATCAGAACCCATAACGCCCAAGTTCACGCAGCTGTCACTGTAGCCGGAGTGGCTGCTGCTGTCGCTGCTATAACTGCCTCGAATGCCATGTCAGCAGAACTTGCAGCAGCAAAAGGCGAGACAGCGGCTTCCAAGACGCCAGCTGCAATGGCATCAGCGGCGGCTCTTGTGGCGTCTCACTGCATTGAGATAGCAGAGGACATGGGTGCTGAACATGAACAAATCATGACAGTTATTGACTCGGCGGTCAACGTGAGGACTAACGGGGATATCATGACTTTAACAGCTGGTGCAGCTACAGGTATAAGACTGTCATCAATCCCCAACACAACAAACCATGAACCCACTCAATTTGCCACATCTATTTCATTGCAATAAAAAAAAAAACAATAGAGAAGATTCAGAATAATGATATTGCATACAGCTTTAAGAGCTGCTGCGACCCTGCGAGCAAGGCTGCAGAAAGGATATGGAGCCCCAGCACTTCCCTTGACAGAGGACATGGATGAAGAAGGCAAGGAGTCCAAAATCTCAGCAGCATTAAAATTTGTCACCGAAGGGGAAGAACTTCTCAAGCGGACAAGGAAAGGTATGCTACTTCACATTTGTATCAGATAGGGAAAAAACGAATGTAAACTAGCCTTGAGAAATGAATACATATTGATAAACCATTGATGGCAGGAGCTCTACATTGGAAGCGAGTTTCTTTCAGTATCAGTACAACTTGTCAGGTATGAAAGAAAGAAATATATCAAAAGGATAAAAGTAATTGCTACACTGATTAGCATATCCCAGAGTGTTACAAGCCCCTAACAAAGGTTTTTTGTTGATGTACTGACCAAAAACAGGTGGTGGCTAAAATGAAAAGCAAGCACATGGCAGGGACATTCACAAAGAAAAAGAAATGTGAGCAAATTTCTCAATCTAAGAAAAGTAAAATTATTACCTTGCTCTCTTATGGTTGATTGACCAAACTTTAAGTTGAATCTGCAGGTGTTGTGTTTGGAGTTCAGACTGAGGTGGCAGGATGGCCAGGGAGGGAGACAGACGACTGCAGCGAGCAAAGAGCTTATTTTGGGATTAAAACATCAGAGAGAATAATAGAGTTCGAATGCTGGAGTAAAAATGACAAGCAGATGTGGGTTGAGGGGATACAGCATATGCTCAGCTGCCGAGCTAAAGTTGCATGAGTTCTAAAACAACATTATAGAGTTCCCATTTGGAACTTCAGTGTCATGTATCAGAAAAACGGTCAAAGGGTTTACAGCAATTGTTAGTCACGAAATGTACAGGTGTTTGGGTATAATGGTAACATTTCTTCCTTTAGAGGAGTTCAAAACCATTAATCAGAAATGGCAAGGAATGTTTGTTTGATAGTTTTGGCTTATTGGATTAACTCAGCTGCGGCTTCAGCTCACTCCAGTTCTCTAAGAAAATCCCCATTATCAACAAACACCTGCAAGGAGAAAGGCATCAATTGATTTTAGCTTTACTGCTCTCATAATCATTCATCGAAATCAATGAATAACCTTTGAACATATTCAAACATAAAAAGAATAAGGAGTATCCCCTTAAAGATACTGGATATAAGGAGTATCCCTTTAAAGATACTGGATCTCAAAGAGATTAGGAAACAGTGTTTTCATTCTTACTATTCAAGCATGAATCAAGGTCCATTGGTCGACAACAATGAGTCAAATAGCCAACTAAAGTAATGACAACCACTTAAAGAGAAAGCGTGCGGGACTAAAGAAAACTAGAAGATTTACCCATTTCCAACCCTCAGGATCCAAGCAAACAGTAATCTTGGTGTTAATACCAGGCAAGGGCCCAGGCTCCAGAACAATGGCTCCACCACAGAGTTTGATTGCTTCAGCACTCTTATAAACATCATCTGTCCCTATTGCAATCTGGTAAATACACGACAGTTAAACGACATCTCTGCCAAGCAATGGAAAATAATATTGACAGAATAAACATATCCTTTTACCTGTGCATAACCATTTCCTTTGTCATATGTGCTGATACCATAGTTATAGGTCAGTTCCAGCACCACATTATTGTCTTCGGGACCATAACCCATATAGGCAACTGTATACTGAGAATGCAGAAGAGCCACACGCACAAAAAAAGTCAGCAATGTTGTTAAAGTCAGAAATTTGCAAGGGTATCAAAGAACTTCAACCAACGCTACCTTGTCATTGGGGTAGTCCCGTTTACTTAGAAGCTCCATTCCAAAAGCCTTTTCAATAGAGTGGAAGGATGAACATCAGCAAAAATCAAGGCATTTCTCAAGGCAACGCAAGCACTGATTTGACCCTGAATACAAATTACCTTCTTATAGAAGTTAATGGATTGATCGAGATCACCAACTCGAAGCATCACTTGGCACAAGGGTTCACGTGCAGGCTTCCTCTCCAATAGCTCAAAGTTGTAACCATCTGGGTCTTTAACAAATGCAATTACTTGATTTCCTCCTTCGACAGGACTAATTCTTCCCCCTTTCGCCTTAACGAGATTCACAGCCTTCCCAACCTATAATCCAGAAACAAGAGAATGCAAACACTGCCTATGTTCATAAACTTTTGTTGCATCAAATGCCAATTAATACCACTGAGCAGGGGACCTTACATCGTCGACTGCAATGCCAAAATGACCGAAACCAGATCCAATGTCATACTTGTCAACGCCATAATCTGCACACCAAAAGCAAGCAATGACTAACCAGCATGGATGCACAATTTCATAAAGAGTCTACAAGTTTGATAGCCTACTGTAGGTAAGTTCAACAGCGAAATTCGATTCTTCAGGGCCATATCCAAGGAAGGCATTTCTATATCTATCTTCTGGTATATCACGTTGCCTCAACAGCTTCATCCCCAAGCACTCAGTATAAAATCTGATAACGTGAACAATCACACATAACATGTCGTCAATCGGACTCGGCAAGTAGCATTAAGAAATTCCATAGCAGAGAATTAGTGTAAAAGATGCGAACTTTATAGTCTTGTCAAAGTCCCCAACGCGGTAAACAACATGAAGCATTCTCCTTTTGTCGTTCTTAATCCACTCCAACAACGCATTAGGGTCATCGAGAATAGGAGTTCTTTCTTCTGCAATTGCCTTTTCAACCGCTCTTAAACCAAACAAATGCGACTGAGGAATAGCTGGATTTTCAAAACACATGGACTTCAATGTACAAAATTCCCCATTGTTGCAACGAAGAAATAGAGAATTATCTGAACTGGGAGCAAAATAGAGGATGTGGTGAATAGGGTTTGTAGTCTCACCGGCGCCGAGTTGAAAGAGGGCGAGTCGACGAGATGGATTCGGGACGGTGGTCGGAGTAGCATTAGCTCGGCCGTCGTCGGAGATGGAAGAAGAAGAAGAAGAAACCTTTAAGGAACGAGCGCGGAGAAGCGGGATGGTGATGGCGGAGACGGTGAAAACAGAGTAGTAAGAAGATGAAGACAACGGCATTGCATGTGTTGTCGACATTTTCTTTTTCCAGTCCGGTGCTTGCTTGCTTCCTCCAGCAGTCCAGCTCCTCCTTCCTACTCCGTGTTCCTCTGGGCTTATCCATCTTACCCTGATGAATCAAACGACGGTCGACAATCGTGTCTCTCAAAATTAGGATACCAAAATGAAAACGCTTACTTACACAATAATAGTGGGATAATTAGTACAAACGGTCACAAATCCTGTCATTTGTAAAATGATAGCACTATTTTTATTTTACACTGATAAAAATATGTTTGATCGAATAATAAAATGGTCATTTCGTCTATTTTTATTTAAAATTTTGTTAATAGTGGGACTTATAAAATTATTGTATATAAGATGCTTGAGTACATGCTACATGACCTTTGTACGTCAAATTTTCTCTTTACTCCAAAAATATTTAAGTGAGTATATTCTTCCAAATAAAAACTAATATAATATTTTGTAAAAATGATCGGTTAGAAAATATGAGAACATAATGGGATACATTAAAATGTAATAATTTTTTGTTTACTTGAACAAAATATGTTATATCGACCCGTACATCTGTATCCTTTAGCATCAAGAAAGAAATTCAAATATGGTAGATGAATTATGACACATGATCAGGACATTATTAATAGCTAAGATAATCCTCGAATCATCAAAGCAGTAAATGATCGTTCTTAACATCTTTAGTGTTGTTAGGACGATCGTGTGCGATGTATGATCAACTACTTAATACTTTAAACCCCATAAAACTAAACATTTTTCCAGTCCGCTGCTTGCTTGCTTCTTCCGACTCCTCCTTCTTCCTACCATCTATCTTACCCAGTATGCATCAAACAACGGTCGACAATCTCAAAGTTAAAAGGATACAAAAATGAAAAGAATTACTTGCAAAGTAAAAAAAAAAAAAAGATTAACAAAATACTCTCAAATGACATTAATCAAGAAATATAAAATTATGTAAATTTTGATATATTTCATGAATCTCGAATATCTCAATTCTCAAGGACATGTGCATGATCAGTCACGCTATAACATGTAAATATTGACTCATTGTGTATCTTTCTATTATCTTAGCAGTTTAGAATTCAAAACTAATGAAATCTTTTGTACAACTGATCGGTTAGAAAAGACAAGAACATTAAGGAATATACTTAAATACAATCGTTGCAACTTCACTTCAACCATATACGTTCAATCTATTGACTTCATATATTTTGCATCGTTTAGCACTACAAAGTTAGGAGATCAAACTTGGTAGATGAATTATAGCCACATAACCGAAACATCATTAAATATTCAAGATAATTCTCGAATCATCGAAACCGTAGAGGATCGTTGTTAACGCCTCCAGTACTATTATGATGATCATATGCGATGTATGACCAACTATTATTTTTAAACAATTATAGACCTATTACATAAGTGATGCACCGAATCTTGGGCTGAAACTCGCACATGTAGCAACAATCACAATTCACAAAGACAAAGAAACAAGACAGCAGTACTACAGAAAGCGGTGGTGGCGGGCTATAAGCCCTATAATATGAAAACCGGCCTACACCAGAATTATGGACATATCACCCTCACACAAAAGTCACAAGTCAAATTTGCCCAAGGGCATCCACGTACTTTCCCCACAGAGCCGAGGTCAACTTCCAGAAGGGCATCCACGTCCTTTCCACCAACATAATTATTTTTTGGGCGCATGATGATGATGGATGGTGCTGAGGTGTAATGGTGAACTTGTGACTGTAACGTGCACATCAATAATTTCACTTCCCTTTTCCATCTCGTCGCCTACTCTCTGTTGCCATTGCACTCTCTTCCTCCATGTTTATATAAGCCAACGCCACTCCACAAACCAAGCTGTAAAGCAGAGGAGGAGAATAAGAAGAAGAAGAATATTCTCTCTTCCTTTTTCGTCACCTTCTGCCTCGAAAACCCATTTTTTGTAATATTAAAAATGGCGAAAATTGCTTTGGGATGTTGCTCGGAGGTGACCAAGCCGGACTGCATCAAGGCCCTCGTCGTCGAGTTCATCGTCACCTTCCTCTTCGTTTTCGCCGGCGTCGGCTCCGCGATGGCCGCCGGTACGTGTGTAACATATATACATCAACAACTCGTCGCTAATATTTTCACACACAAAAACAAATCGTCGCTAAAGCTAGTTATTATGAAATATGTTGGTCACTATAGCTTTGTTAAATATTAATAGCGACGAAGAAATGCTTTTTTATGATTATTACATACATGAACAAGTCGTCGCTAAAAAAGATAGTTATTATCATATTAATAGCGACGACGGGGATTAAATTTGATGATTTGGTGACGACTGGTCGCAGATAAGCTAGAGGGAGGGGCGCTGGCGGCGCTGCTGTTCGTGGCGGTGGCGCACACATTCGTGGTGGCTGTGATGATCTCCGCAGGCCACATCTCCGGCGGTCATCTCAACCCTGCCGTCACCATAGGCCTTCTGTTCGGCGGTCACATCACCGTCGTCCGGTCGGCTTTCTACTGGGTTATCCAGCTGCTCGCGTCGTCGGCAGCCTGTTTGCTTCTCAAGTATCTCACCGGAGGATTGGTACGTTCATTTTTATTGACTCATCTATCAAAGTAGATAGATTTTCCAAGCCAATTTGTGGCTCCAAAAGATTTTTCCCTATAGAAATCTATTTTCTACCACTTTAGAGATGGATCTTGAACCAAATTTGGTTTTTGCAATTTTAACCAATTCCATTTTATCATTTTATATAGCTGTATTTTATCTAAAATTCGTGAAACCTTATCACAAATCAAGATAATTGCTCAAGAATCAAAATTCTAGCTAGTACTTGTTACAATTATTATATTTTCTCATCAATATCTTAATTAGCTAAAAATTTCGGTGATTCTGTGGTGCTTATTGTGATTCTTGGTTATAACCACCACAAACAATCAAAATAGTTTGTGAGATTATTAGTTTTATTCGTTTGGATCTAGAACTATCAATTCATCAATATAATTCATATATGAATACTTTGTGAGTTTATTATACTTTTCTTTCAATTGAATTTGATGTTTCGTTTGCGATATTTTACATGTTAAATATCGAGAAACTCATTTAGTGACGCAAAAGACCCACCATTATCGATCTAAATTTAACATATTTTGGATTTTGGTGGGTGGTGCAGGTGACGCCGGTGCACACACTGGCAAGTGGAGTTGGGTACGGGCAAGGCATAGTGTGGGAGATAGTTCTGACCTTCTCCCTACTCTTCACAGTCTACGCCACAATGGTTGACCCCAAGAAGGGCTCACTCGACGGCTTCGGCCCACTGCTCACTGGGCTCGTAGTTGGAGCCAACATCTTGGTTGGTGGCCCGTTCTCTGGGGCTTCAATGAACCCAGCAAGATCTTTTGGGCCTGCTCTCGTGGCTGGGGTATGGACCGACCACTGGGTTTACTGGGTTGGGCCTCTCATCGGCGGTGGGCTTGCTGGCTTTGTCTACGAGAACTTCTTCATCGTCAGATCTCACATCCCCATTTCCAGTGAAGATCCTATTTATTAACTGCGGGGAGAGCAGTACAATATTTGAGCGAGGCAGCAGTAAAAAAAAGGCGTCAAGTTCCTGTAGACTATGATTGTGTGATTTGTAGTACGACGTCGTGCAATCGTGTTGGTTGTGGTGGTAATTATGTACCTTTGGTTTCGTGTAATAATTACCGTGTCAGTATGTACTCTAGCTCTACCATTTCATCACAAGACAAGAGTTTACATGAATTCTGGTTCAGTAAGTTTTGGTTATAGGTTTCACAGTTTCAGAGAAAAGGGATACACAACTTATAAGAAGCAATATTAATGAGGTCCAAACATGAGATTAGAAGGCAACTATTCTCCGTCGAGAAACAAATATTAGTAGCTGACGTGAACATGAGAAGGACATTCAATATAGGAAAATGATCGACATTGTCACTAAAAAATTAATTATTTGTAGAATGTTCGTATAGAAAGAGGCACTTTCTAGCATTAGCATGTTCCATAAGGCTTTTTCTATCAACGTGCATATCCTCAACTGGCTTACCGTACTCAAGGGGCATGACGATCACATATGAACCGCATCTAAACTCTACCTCTCGACTCAAGTCACATAAGTATGATTGTATGAGAAATCACCCACCACTAATCATGCAAATCCCGTTCTTTACGGAAGACAAAACAACCCAAATGGATTGTACGTTGACAATGATATTTCTTCTTGTCTTATGAATTAATAAATGTAGCTAAATACTGAGTGATTATGTTGTTTCAAAATGAACGAACAATTTAGCGATCAATTTGATACATTTTGAAGTGGCTCCTCATTTTCTTACATGAAGCACAATTTAGTGTCCAGTTTATAGTTTTCAGATTGGCTCAAGCCTATGATCAGAACGGAAGAACTAGAAGCCCCAAAATAAATAAACTCCATTTCCATCCTTGTGTTTGATGTCATATTAAAGAACTACCCACCTGCCAGCATATATAATGTAAAATGAATTGATTAGGGAACTACCGGACCACTTGACTTATAGTATCGACATTATATTTTCCAACTCCTTTGAGCTACCACCCATTAATTTCCTAGTAATTGCCACAATGAATGTCATCAAGCCCTAGTTAATGTTTTCACCCGAAAAATACATGTCCTGCAGGTGGCAAATTACTTCATGGCTACACACCAATCTAACATATACGTTCCTTTCTTAATCTTCCTTCCATTTTTGTACTTCTCATCCACATATATAAGGATTAACTGATAATCATCTTAATCGTTCGATCTTGGACATAATGCATGATGATAACTGAGCAAGTTTGGACTTGTTGTCTCGTTATTGAGTTTTGAGCGTTTCCTTCTAGTTAGGTGGTCGCGGATATATATAGGTGTGTTCTCGTATTAACTCATTTTAAATATTTACGAGTTTAAATTTTGTTATTTTTTACAGAATTTTTCTCGTCCCGAACAAATTAACCATAGGCATTAAGTTAAATAATAATAAAAAAGAAGACAAATAGCAATGAAATATTTAATCAATGAACATATATTACATGGTATATATATATATATAGAACACAATAATCAATCTATAGAAAGTTGTCTTTTCTAAGCTTCTTCTCAACCCAAGAAGGAGATAGAACAGGACTAATCTCGTACTCCATCACCTTGCTACTATTACTATGACTCAACACCAAATCACCCACTGTAGTAGTAGTACTACTACTACAGCTGATACTCTCCACATTGCTGTTCCTCCTCTTCATCAACCCTTCTCCACTAATGTGACAATACTCCGTTAATCCCATCCCTAATTTCTCGCCACTATGATTATTAGTACGATGATGATCATCCTCCTCCATCAAAACCTTAACCCTCCACACCTTGAAACTCTGGTCCAACCCGGCACTATACACCAAGAACCCATTCCCAACCCTCTCGTTCTCCAAGCAAACCGCCAAACACCTCACTGGCCCTCTATGACCATCCAACACGGCCAAACACTCGTGAAACCCGCTCCCTCCTCCTTCCCTCCTCCAAACCCTAATGCTCGTGTCCTCGGACCCGCTGAACACGAGCCTCTCCGACACAGAGGCCAGGCAGAGCACCGCGAACCGGTGTCCCTGGAGGAACCCGGAGTGGTTGAACCTCCCGGAGAACCTCTCCTTCTCCCAGAAGTTGATGGTGCCGTCTGAGGAGCCCGAGTACAGGAAGCACCCGGACACGGAGCTGGTCAACGCCAGGGCGTTGACCGGGGAGTGCTGGAACCTGAGGGTCATGGTCAGGGTGTGGGAGTCCTGCAGGTAGACCCTGCGCCACACCTTGACCGACCCGTCGGACGAGGAGCTGAAGACGCACCCGTCGTCCTGGTTCACCAGGACGGACGTGACACCCTCGTCGTGGGCCTGGAACGAGTCCACGCACATCCTGTCGTGGACTCGCCAGACCTTCACGGTCCGGTCGTGCGAGCCCGTGTACAGCAGCCCTTCCGCGTGGTAGTACGCCATACACGAGACGTTGTCCCTGTGCTGCTGGTGACGTGGCGCGACGTTGCTGTTGTACCTGAAATCGATTAACAAAAAAAATTATTTTATATTTTTTTCTTATGCAACCAGATTTCAAATGAAAGAGTCTTTTCTGTCACGAGGTGGGCAACAACTTATTTGATAAAAATAGGCTTATTACTTGGTGGAAGAATTGTAGATGGTGAAGCGGCGGAAGGGGAACATGATTGGGGAAGAGTTGGTGCGGGGAAGAGTGGCGACCTTCTTGATCTTGAAGCCGTCGGAGGAGAGGGTGAAGTTCCAAATCCTGATCTTGTGGTCTTTGTGGGCGGAGAAGAGCGCGTTGCCGTAGGCCAAGACGGCGCGTACGTGGCCGCAGCTGGACTTGACGTAGCCACGCTCGGTGCAGTCGGGGTGGCGCCACGCGCGGATGCGGCTGCTCTCGGAGCCGGTGAAGACGACGCCCTTGGCCACGGCGATGGAGTAGATGTTGCCCTCGTGGCGGTGGAGGGAGGCGATGCAGTGGTGGAGGAGGGAAGGGGAGGGGCTGGTGCGGAGAGGGGAGAGCGACCACGGGGAGCCCGGGCTCGGCGGCGCCGCCACGGGGACGTGGATGATTGGGTTGGGAGGGGAAGGTGTGGCCACGGAGGGGGAGGAGTGGTGGGTGGTTGTGGTGGTGGTGGTGGCGGCGGCGGCGTCGGTGGAGAGGCGGCGGGGGGAGGTGAAGTGGACCTCGTCGTCGGTGGCTCCGGCGGCGGTGGTTAGTGGGGATGACATTTTGGTGGCGGGGGAGGAGTGGGAAGCTAAGCTAAATCGTGTTCTCTTTGTTGTTGCCATGGAAATTCCCATTCCATTGGATATAAAGGTGGTATATTGTTTTTTTGGTTATGGAGATGTGACATGATTGGTGAGAGCCCACTTGATATAGAGGAAAGTGTTGGCTTTTCCTTTTTCTTTCATTTCGTTTTCCTATAGTTGTTGTAAGGTCATTAGCATAGCAAATGAAACCCTAATCGGGTTATGATACGGTTAAACGTTTGAAGCTGATTGAATCAAGATCAGGTATGAATACGAATCGTTGTACGCTCCTATTTTTTAATGAATAGAGTTATTGGACATACTAGTATTACTAGCAGGGGTGGAGCCACGTTGTTGCCAGGAGGGGATATAACCCGTCACTGATTACCAGAACATATAATAGAAGGTTTTATGTTCAAATGACGGTGATTATCGAAATTACTTGGATGGTGGCCTCAATAATGGCATCCACTTCCTACAAATAGCGAAACACATGTATCTGTACAGTACCCTGTTTTGTTCTTAAACCAAAAAAGTAGGAATCCACATTCAATATGCAATGAAGGATGAAGAGAAATGGAGAGAGTGGTTTGGGAATTTGAGACCCACTAGTTCAACACAAAAGTACGTTGATGGTGGTGCCTCATGTGACACGAGCGAGCAAAAGAACTTCTTGGACAAAGAGTAGTAAACATTCCCTAAAATCAGTACTTCCTTAGGACGATTTCTTGCAACAACAGCAGTTAGAGGACCAATTTATTAGAGAAAAAGAATAACTATTCTTTTTCATTTATTTTATTTTGCTCCCACTCCTCACGTTTCCACTCCTCAACTCCCCTGTACATTCTCCTTCAATCACTCAACAAACTCTCCTGTATCCTCTGTAACAGTGTATAAATATTGCTGGAAACGTAAATATAAATAAGGTCTTTTGATCACAATAATACTCTATTTACAACTGCCTCTCCTTCTAATATGGTATCAGAGCTAGCCAAGTTCAGCTAGTTGATCCAATCTGCCCTCTTCTTCCGCAATTCCCATTTTTTTTTTCTCTCCCAAACCGAATTCACAACGCTCCTTCCGGCGTTCCTCTTGTCTTTTGGCAGGCCATTCTCCTCCCCTGTTTTTGTTCTTTCACTCAGGCCATTCTCCTCCCCTGTTTTTGTTCGTTCACTCTGTCACCATGTCTGGTAGCTCCACCGTCGACAACACGGCCACTTCGGCCGCCGTTCCAGCCGTCATCACGTTCAATCCGGCTGCTCAGCTTCCCCTGAAGCTCACCTCCACCAACTTCGCCTCCTGGCGTTCTCAATTAGACACGCTGCTCATGGGTCTTGATCTCTTTGGCTATATCGATGGTACCACTGTCGCTCCTCCTCGCACAATTCTGCTTGACTCAGTCGAGATGCCGAATCCCCAATATCAGCACTGGTTCAGGCAAGACAAACTCATCCTCCACGCCTTGCGTTGCTCGATCTCTGAATCCATTTACTCGTTTGTCTCTGCCGCTTCTACATCGAGGGCCGCGTGGCTCATCCTTGAAAAGCTCTATGCGAGCAATGCTCAGTCTCGTGTCATTCACTTGAAAGGAAAATTGGCGAAAACTTCAAAGGGGGATCGAGATGTATTGACGTTTGTGAATGATCTCAAGAGCACAGCGGAGGAGCTCGCTCTCATCGGGAAACCGGTCTCTGACATCGATCTTGTCGTCTATTGCCTTCGCGGCTTAGGCGAGGAATACACCGCCTTTGCCGCTGCTATTCGTGCTCGGGGACCTGGCCTCTGCCTCGAAGATCTGGTCGACTCCTTGGTAGAATACGAGGCGGACCTCAAGGCCCAGGTGCGCCAGTCTGTTCCGACGGCGTTTTATTCCCAGGGGCAGCGCAACTTTGGCGGCGGTGCGTCCTCTGGCGGGTCACATTCTTCTCGCTCCCCGCGAGGGTTTCCAGCGCAGCGGGCCTCTTCTCCACGTCCAGCAGTAGGTGCCCAGCGGGCTTCAGGCCCATTCCCTGCCAATTCTTATGGGCCGCCTCCTGCTGCTTCTGTTCCCCGCAGGCCCCAAGTGGTATGTCAGTACTGTGAGCGCTCAGGCCACTCTGTCCGTCAATGCTTCAGGCTCTTTCCTCAGGCTCGTCAAGAGTTTCAGGCCCGTCAAGCTCAGGCCCATTACACCACTGCCCCTCGTACTTCGTCTTCTAGCCCCTGGCTTCTTGACTCTGCCGCCTCTCATCATGTTACCTCTGATCTAGGCAATCTGTCTCTTTATTCCGATTACTCCGGTCCGGATGAGATCCTCGTTGGCGATGGCACAGGTTTGAAAATATCACATATTGGGTCTACCACATTGCACAACTCCACGTCTTCATTTCAATTAAATGATGTGTTATGTGCTCCTGCTATCAAGCGTAAACTTGTCTCCGTTGCCAAGCTTTGTCGTACTAATCCCATTTCGGTGGAATTTTTTGCTGATTGTTTTGTTGTGAAGGATCTTCGCACGGGGGCGCCGCTACTGAAGGGGGCAAATAATGGGGACGTCTATGAGCTACCTCGTGATGTGGACACTGTTCGTCTTGCTCTAGTTACCACGTGCACATCCTCCACGTCCTGGCACGCTCGTCTTGGTCATCCCTCTTCCTCTTCCCTGACTACTCTACTTCGCACTCATTCATTGCCAGTGTCATCCTCCCCCGTCAGTAGTCATTGTTCCTCATGTCTTGCCAATAAAAGTCACAAGCTTCCCTTTGCTCACTCTTCATTATTCAGTACTAGACCATTTGATTTACTGTATACTGACGTTTGGGGACCGGCTCCGGTCACCTCCATTGATGGTTTTAGTTATTATTTAATCATCGTTGATCACTTTTCCCGTTATACTTGGTATTACCCTTTGAAACGCAAGTCTGATGTTCTTCCTGTGTTCCTCGCCTTTCAAAAGATGGTTGAAAATTATTTTTCCACTACCATTCGTCGTCTCTACTCTGATGGTGGCGGTGAATTCCAAAAATTGTGCTCCACTTTGGTCGATCACGGGATCAGTCATCTGCTTACACCACCTCATACGCCCGAGCATAATGGCTTGGCTGAGCGTAAACATCGCCATCTTGTTGAAACTGGTATAACTCTCCTACATCATGCTCATTTGCCTTCGTCCTTTTGGTCGTTTGCATTCTCCACTGCTATCTATCTCATTAACCGCCTCCCTTCCTCTTCCTTGCGCGGTCTCATTCCATACACTTCTCTCTTTAATCTTGCTCCTAATTATCATAAGCTTCGTGTGTTTGGGTGCTTATGTTATCCTTGGTTGCGTCCTTACTCAAAACACAAACTTGAACCTCGTTCTCGCCCTTGCATCTTTATTGGTTACTGCCCACAACGTAGTGCCTATAGGTGCTTTGATCCCGACACTCACCGTATATTTCTCTCTCGTCATGTACGTTTTGTCGAACATTCCTTTCCGGGTTACACTACTAATCCTTCTGCAGATTCTCCTACTGTTGAGTCTTGGATTGCTGGTCTCGGGCCATCCATTGTGCACATTCCACTTCATGGGCCTCAACCCAGCTTGCCGGCCCAGCCCCCTTCCTCTCACGGCTCCCCCCGCGCGTCTGGTCCTTTGCACACAACATCACTGCCTGGGCCGCCCCTTACTCCTGGGCCCGTGCCTCTCCCTTCAGCCGACCGAGGCTCTCAGCCTGGGCCCGCGCCTCCCCCCTCCGCCGACCGAGGCCTGTCTTCCGCAGTTGGGCCGTCCACTGCTACCAAGCCCAAGCCTGCTACTTCAGCCGACCGAGGCTCCAGGACTGGGCCCGCGCCTATCTCTTCTGCCGACCGCGGCCTGCCTTCTACTCCTGGGCCATCCCAGCCGGCTGGGCTTGAGATCTCCTCGCCCAGCCCCTCCGTCGCTCAGCCCACTGCGCCTCCTCCGCTCCTTCGCACGCATCGCATGACAACAAGGGCTCAGGGTGGCATCTACAAGCCAAAGAAATTGTTCACCATCGATCACACTACTCGTTCCCCTCCGCTACAACCCCGCTCGGTTCGTGAGGCCATGCAGTACTCAGAGTGGGACGAGGCCCTTCGCAAAGAGCACTCCGCGCTGCTCCAAAATCACACTTGGGATCTCGTTCCCCGGCAGCCACATTTCAATGTCCTCGGCAACAAATGGGTATATCGCATCAAGCTTCACTCTGATGGTTCATTAAATCTCTTTAAATGTCGCCTGGTTGCGAAGGGCTTTCACCAGCGACCTGGTATTGATTTCACGGATACCTTCAGTCCCGTGGTCAAACCTGTCACTGTTCGCACGATTTTCACCATTGCTTTATCTCATCATTGGCCGATTAAGCAGTTCGACGTCAACAATGCGTTCCTTCAAGGGCCGCTGGATGATGAGGTTTATATGGTCCAGCCTCCTGGCTTTGTTGACCCCGATCATCCCACTCACGTCTGTCGTCTTCGTCGTGCTATATATGGCCTTCGCCAGGCTCCGCGTGCGTGGTACACAGCACTAAGCTCCTTTCTTGTTGAGTTTGGATTCCGGAAATCTCAATCTGATGCATCTCTATTTGTTTATCATCATTCTGAGGTTACTCTTTACTTCTTGGTCTACGTCGATGATCTCTTGCTCACTGGGAATGATCCTGCTACTCTCTCTGCCTTCCAGCTGGCGTTGGCTACTAAGTTCTCCCTCAAGGAACTTGGTGATGTGAACTATTTTTTGGGCATTGAGATCATTCCCACTGCCTCTGGCTATGTTCTGTCTCAACATCGCTACATGGTTGACATTCTCACCAGGTTTCACATGCTGGATGCCGCTCCTGTTTCTACCCCTCTGGCCTCCTCGGCCCAGCTCACCCTCTCTGACGGCACTCCTCCCACTGATGCCACTAGGTACCGCCAGGTTCTGGGGGCGCTACAGTATCTCGTCTACACTCGCCCTGATATAGCCTTCGCGGTCAATAAACTCTCCCAGTATATGCATGCACCTACGACCAACCATTGGCAATGTCTTAAGCGTCTCCTA